TATAAATAGAGGAAAATAATAAATGTAAAAATAACAATAATGAATAAGGTAAATAATAAATGTAAGAATAATAATAGAAGAGTAAAATACTAAATGTAATAATAATAATAAAGTAAAATAAAAATGTAATAATAATAAAAATGTAATAATAATTATAAATAGAGTAAAATAATAAATTTAATAACAATAGTGAATAAGGTAAAATAATAAATGTAGGAATAATAATAATAAAGTATTTATTTATTTATTTATTTCCCACATTTTTAAAGTAAAATATTAAATGTAATAATAATAATAAATAGAGTGAAATAATAAATGTAATAATAATAAAAATGGATAAAATATAAAATGTAATAATAATACTAAATAGAGTAAATTGTAGATGTAATATAAAATAATAAAGTAATGTCAATGTAATAATTTATGTTTATAACTAAATAAATAAGTAATGTAAATGTAATAATAATAATAAGAGTAAAATAATAAATGTAATAGGACTGCTAGCTGCTACTAGATCTCTTGAAATTGAGAGGCCAATAACTGAAACCAATTCACTTGCCCGCGTGCAAACCAAAGCTCTGTCGCTGAGCTCACTTCTAGTCTAAGCTCCATCTTATAGTCTCTTACATGGTTCAGATCCAAATACAGCTGTGGACCGGCAAGGTGCTGTTGTTGTTGGACCAGGGCTGTGTATGGCTCATTGTACACCGGAGACAAGACTTCCCCACTGGCGTGCTCAGGGATGAGCTGGAAATTGCTCCGTTCCGAGTCTTGACTGTTGATTTGCGGTTGCTGTGGGCCACACTTCCCTTTGGACCTCCGAGAGCTCCCTTTCCTTTTCAGTTCGGGTTTTGGAATCGCTGGATTTCCTAGACACTGACATAAGGACAAAAACCCTCTTGAGGCCCCTTCCACACAACTGAACAAAATCCCACATTTTCTGCTTTGAACTGGAATATTTGGCGGTGTAGACACAGAAAATCCAGTTCAAAGCAGAAAGGGCCGGGTTTTAGCACAGCGGGTTAAACCATTAGCTGTGGAAAATCTTGCTGATCAAAAGGTCGGCAGTTCAAACCCGGGTTGGAGTGAGCTCCCAACTGTTAACACAGCTTCTGCTCACCTAGCAGTTCGAAAACAACAATGTGAGTAGATAAATAGATACTAAAATAATAATAAAAAGCACCCAGCGATTTGATCGGTAGAGCATCTAAGGACAATAAAGTTCCTCAGCATGGAAGTTGGAGTGACAGCATTCCCATGAGCCTCCCTCCAGCCTCACATGCTCTCCCTCGCCATACTGCCATGCACCGAGCACACCTGCTCTCCCCTCCTCACTTGGAGTCTCACTGGCATGAAGGGACTCACTAGCATGAGGCTCCCTCCAGCCTGACACACTCTCCCTCACTCCCACATGTGCAGCACACTGCCATGAGCTGAGCACACCTGTTCTCCCCTCCCTGCTTGGATTCTCAAAACAGGCCTCCCCTTGAAGGGACTCACTGGCATGAGCCTCCCTCCAGCCTGACATGCTCTCCCTTACCCACACATGTGCACCACACTGCCTGCTCTCCCCTCCCCACTTTGGAGTCTCAAAACAGCCGTCCTCTTGAATGGACTCACTGGCATGAGCCTCCCTCCGGCCTGACATGCTCTCCCTCACCCACACATGTGCACCACACTGCCATGAGGTGAGCACGCCTGCTCTCCCCTCCCCACTTGGAGTCTCAAAACAGCCCTCCCCTTGAAGGGACTCACTGTCATGAGCCTCCCTCCAGCCTAACACGCTCTCCCTCACCCACACATGTGCACCACACTGCCATGAGGTGAGCATGCCTGATCTCTCCTCCCTGCTTGGAGTCTCAAAACAGCCCTCCTCTTGTAGGGACTCACTGGCATGAGCCTCCCTCCAAACTGACATGCTCTCCCTCACCCACACATGTGCACCACACTGCCATGAGCTGAGCACACCTGCTCTCCCCTCCTCGCTTGGAGTCTCAAAACAGCCCTCCCCTTGAAGGGACTCACTGGCATGAGCCTCCCTCCAGCCTACACGCTCTCCCTCACCCACACATGTGCACCACACTGCCATGAGGTGAGCACGCCTGCTCTCCCCTCCCCGCTTGGAGTCTCAAAACAGCCCTCCGCTTGAAGGAATTCACTGGCATGAGCCTCCCTCCAGCCTGACACGCTCTCCCTCACCCACACATGTGCACCACACTGCCATGAGGTGAGCACGCCTGCTCTCCCCTCCCCTTGGAGTCTCAAAACAGCCCTCCCCTTGAAGGGACTCACTGTCATGAGCCTCCCTCCAGCCTAACACGCTCTCCCTCACCCACACATGTGCACCACACTGCCATGAGGTGAGCACATGTGTGGGTCCCCTCCCCGCTTGAGGTCTCAAAACATCCCTCCTCTTGAAGGAATTCACTGGCATGAGCCTCCCTCCAGCCTCACATGCTCTCCCTCACCCACACATGTGCACCACACTGCCATGAGGTGAGCACACCTACTCTCCCCTACCCAATGGAGTCTCAAAACAGCCATCCTCTTGTAGGGACTCACTGGCATGAGCCTCCCTCCAGCCTCACATGCTCTCCCTCACCCACACATGTGCACCACACTGCCATGAGGTGAGCACGCCTGCTCTCCCCTCCCCGCTTGGAGTCTCAAAACAGCCCTCCGCTTGAAGGAATTCACTGGCATGAGCCTCCCTCCAGCCTGACACGCTCTCCCTCACCCACACATGTGCACCACACTGCCATGAGCTGAGCACGCCTGCTCTCCCCTCCCCACTTGGAGTCTCAAAACAGCCCCCCTTGAAGGGACTCACTGGTATGAGCCTCCCTCCAGCCTGACACGCTCTCCCTCACCCACACATGTGCACCACACTGCCATGAGGTGAGCACGCCTGCTCTCCCCTCCCCACTTGGAGTCTCAAAACAGCCCTCCGCTTGAAGGAATTCACTGGCATGAGCCTCCCTCCAGCCTGACATGCTGTCGCTCACCCACACATGTGCACCACACTGCCTGCTCTCCCCTCCCCGCTTGGAGGCTCAAAACAGCCCTCCTCTTGTAGGGACTCACTGGCATGAGCCTCCCTCCAGCCTGACACGCTCTCCCTCACCCACACATGTGCACCACACTGCCATGAGGTGAGCACGCCTGCTCTCCCCTCCCCGCTTGGAGTCTCAAAACAGCCCTCCGCTTGAAGGAATTCACTGTCATGAGCCTCCCTCCAGCCTAACACGCTCTCCCTCACCCACACATGTGCACCACACTGCCATGAGGTGAGCACATGTGTGGGTCCCCTCCCCGCTTGAGGTCTCAAAACATCCCTCCTCTTGAAGGAATTCACTGGCATGAGCCTCCCTCCAGCCTCACATGCTCTCCCTCACCCACACATGTGCACCACACTGCCATGAGGTGAGCACACCTACTCTCCCCTACCCAATGGAGTCTCAAAACAGCCATCCTCTTGTAGGGACTCACTGGCATGAGCCTCCCTCCAGCCTCACATGCTCTCCCTCACCCACACATGTGCACCACACTGCCATGAGGTGAGCACGCCTGCTCTCCCCTCCCCGCTTGGAGTCTCAAAACAGCCCTCCGCTTGAAGGAATTCACTGGCATGAGCCTCCCTCCAGCCTGACACGCTCTCCCTCACCCACACATGTGCACCACACTGCCATGAGGTGAGCACATGTGTGGGTCCCCTCCCCGCTTGAGGTCTCAAAACATCCCTCCTCTTGAAGGAATTCACTGGCATGAGCCTCCCTCCAGCCTCACATGCTCTCCCTCACCCACACATGTGCACCACACTGCCATGAGGTGAGCACACCTACTCTCCCCTACCCAATGGAGTCTCAAAACAGCCATCCTCTTGTAGGGACTCACTGGCATGAGCCTCCCTCCAGCCTCACATGCTCTCCCTCACCCACACATGTGCACCACACTGCCATGAGCTGAGCACGCCTGCTCTCCCCTCCCCGCTTGGAGTCTCAAAACAGCCCTCCCCTTGAAGGGACTCACTGTCATGAGCCTCCCTCCAGCCTAACACGCTCTCCCTCACCCACACATGTGCACCACACTGCCATGAGGTGAGCACGCCTGCTCTCCCCTCCCCGCTTGGAGTCTCAAAACAGCCCTCCGCTTGAAGGAATTCACTGGCATGAGCCTCCCTCCAGCCTGACACGCTCTCCCTCACCCACACATGTGCACCACACTGCCATGAGCTGAGCACGCCTGCTCTCCCTCCCCGCTTGGAGTCTCAAAACAGCCCTCCCTTGAATGGACTCACTGGCATGAGCCTCCCTCCGGCCTGACATGCTCTCCCTCACCCACACATGTGCACCACACTGCCATGAGCTGAGCACGCCTGCTCTCCCCTCCCCACTTGGAGTCTCAAAACAGCCCTCCCCTTGAAGGGACTCACTGTCATGAGCCTCCCTCCAGCCTAACACGCTCTCCCTCACCCACACATGTGCACCACACTGCCATGAGGTGAGCATGCCTGATCTCTCCTCCCTGCTTGGAGTCTCAAAACAGCCCTCCTCTTGTAGGGACTCACTGGCATGAGCCTCCCTCCAGCCTCACATGCTCTCCCTCACCCACACATGTGCACCACACTGCCATGAGCTGAGCACGCCTGCTCTCCCCTCCCCGCTTGGAGTCTCAAAACAGCCCTCCCCTTGAAGGGACTCACTGGCATGAGCCTCCCTCCAGCCTGACATGCTCTCCCTCACCCCACATGTGCACCACACTGCCATGAGATGAGCACGCCTGCTCTCTCCTCCCTGCTTGGAGTCTCAAAACAGCCGTCCTCTTGAATGGACTCACTGGCATGAGCCTCCCTCCGGCCTGACATGCTCTCCCTCACCCACACATGTGCACCACACTGCCATGAGCTGAGCATGCCTGCTCTCCCCTCCTCGCTTGGAGTCTCAAAACAGCCCTCCCCTTGAAGGGACTCACTGGTATGAGCCTCCCTCCAGCCTGACACGCTCTCCCTCACCCACACATGTGCACCACACTGCCATGAGGTGAGCACGCCTGCTCTCCCCTCCCCACTTGGAGTCTCAAAACAGCCCTCCGCTTGAAGGAATTCACTGGCATGAGCCTCCCTCCAGCCTGACATGCTGTCGCTCACCCACACATGTGCACCACACTGCCTGCTCTCCCCTCCCCGCTTGGAGGCTCAAAACAGCCCTCCTTGAAGGAATTCACTGGCATGAGCCTCCCTCCAGCCTGACATGCTGTCGCTCACCCACACATGTGCACCACATTGCCTGCTCTCCCCTCCCCACTTTGAGTCTCAAAACAGCCCTCCCCTTGGTTGAGAGGCCAGTCAATCACAGCGGAGGAGGGCTTTTGGTGTTTTGAGACTCCAAGCAGGGAGGGGAGAGCAGGCGTGCTCAGCTAATGGCAGTGTGGTGCACATGGTGGAGCTATCTTCAGATTATCAGAAATAAGTGTTTTCTGGTGGTCTTTGGTGACCCCTCATGACCCCCCCCCCCCCCGGGGTGGCGCAGTGGGTTAAAGAGGATTCTCTCTTCTTGTACTTTGCAGTATTCCTACTTACATGGACTGGCTGAGGACCTTCTGCTAACTGGTTCTCTGGCATCACTCCAAACGACTGCTTCTCAGAACGGGAGCCTGTGCTGTTCTGGGAATGGTGAGTGGACGTTGCGCCCTTCCCTCCGGACGCCCAGGAATTGGTTCGGCCGTCGGAGGTGAGTGAGCCTCTACCACTTCCTGAGAACTACATTAGTAAACAAGGAGAAGGACAGGAGGGAAGAAAAATATACATTATGGCATAGGTAGAGCTTTGTTGGAAATAGCAACCTTCTTCAAACCTCCTCTAGTTATTTGTTGTGTATATAGTTGCGACTCACGGCAATGTGAGTAGATAAATAGGTACCGATTGAAGCGGGGAGGTAATAAAAGACGGCCATAAGGACATGCCTCCGATTCGATCAGGAGGATGTTTATGGACAACAAAGCGAATCAGAATGGAAGATGGAGCGACAGCACCCCGTGTGGCCAGAGTCGAGCACAACCTCCAGTTGCCGGAGATGGAAAACGATGGGAAGCCTAAGCCTTTGCCTTTGTTTATGTACTGTCTGCCTGCCTAAAGTATTATCTATTATTAATAATTAAGTATTAATAATTATTAGGTTTTATAATAATAATCATAATAATAATAATAAGGAAGATAGAGAGGAATATAAATAAGGTATTTTATTATTATTATGTATATTTATTTATTATTTATTATTATTACTTATTATTAATAATTAAGTGTAATATAGAGAAGAATATAAATAAGGTAGGTTATTATTATTATTATTATTATTAAGTATAATTATTTATTATTATTAAGTATATTATTAAGTATAATTATTTTTTATTAATAATTAAGTGTAATATAGAGAGGAATATAAATAAGGTATGTTATTATTATTATTATTATTAAGTATATCATTATTAAGTATAATTATTTATTATTATTAAGTATATTATTAAGTATAATTATTTTATTAATAATTAAGTGTAATATAGAGAGGAATATAAATAAGGTATTATTATTAAGTATATCATTATTAAGTATAATTATTTATTATTAAGTATATTATTAAGTATAATTATTTTTTATTACTAATTAAGTGTAATATAGAGAGGAATATAAATAAGGTATGTTATTATTATTATTATTAAGTATATCATTATTAAGTATAATTATTTATTATTATTAAGTATATTATTAAGTATAATGATTTATTATTATTAACTAAGTATTATTAATTATTAAGTTTTATAATAATAATAATAATAATAATAAGGAAGATAGAGAGGAATATAAATAAGGTATGTTATTATTATTAAGTATATTATTATTAAGTATAATTATTTATTATTAATAATTAAGTATTATTTATTATTAATTATTATTATTAATTATTGAGTATATAATAATAATAAGGAAGATAGATAGGAATATAAAGAAGGTATGTTATTATTATTATTTATTATTAAGTATATTATTATTAAGTATAATTATTTATTATTAATAATTAAGTATTATTTATTATTAATAATTATTATTAATTATTGAGTATATAATAATAATAAGGAAGATAGATAGGAATATAAAGAAGGTATGTTATTATTATTATAAGTATATTATTATTAAGTATAATTATTAATAATTAAGTATTATGTATTATTAAGTTTTATAATAATAATAATAATAAGGAAGATAGGGAGGAATATAAATAAGGTATGTTATTATTATTATTATTAAATATATTATTATTAGGTATAACTATTTATTAATTATTAAGTATTATTTATTATTAAGTATTATTAATTATTGAGTTTTATAATAATAATAATAATAATAATAATAATAAGGAATATAGAGAAGAATATAAATAAGGTATGTTGTTATTATTATTATTATTAAGTATATTATTATTAAGTATAATTATTTATTATTAATTATTAAGTATTATTTATTTTTAATAATTAAAAATGGAACTGTAGAGGAGAGTCTACTGCACAAGCCAGTACATGCCGCTCTTGAGGAGTTACGAAGGTGGAGGCATTACTTTTTCTGCTAAGGCTTCCTGCCAAATGGAACTGTAGAGGAGAGTCTACTGAACAAGCCAGTACCTGCCGCATACAGTACTGCCATCTGTTGAGGAGTTACGAAGGTGGAGGCATTACTTTGTCTGCTAAGCTTCCCATCAAAATGGAACTGTAGAGGAGAGTCTACTGAACAAGCCAGTACCTTGCCACATATCAGTACTGCCATTTGTTGAGGAGTTACGAAGGTGGAGGCATTACTTTTCATTCAACCCTCGTACAGAAAGGTCCCGAAATGGGTCATAGAACCCCATTCCCGTCAGTTTGAAGAATGAACACCCACCAGTTGGCTCCCCTCAAATATTATGTGTGAGGGAATAAAAAAAATGGGATTTTACCTGAGTCAAATGTGGTGGTTTTGGTCCCGAGAAGCTCTCTGATCCAGAGAGGGAGGAGTCCGCATTGCGGAACTGGGCCGTTTTGAGGCAATAGAGCCACTCCTGGTAGTCTTCATATGAGGGACAAATCACTCGGATGGAATTGATTAACCGACCTGCATAGAATGAAAAACAAGTCTAGAGGACCGTCTCTGAATTAGGATGTCTACTCACAGCAACTTGGCCTATCAAGCCCACTTCAATTTATCTTTTAGTGGTATATATACCCATGGCACTTAGGTTTCTCAGTTGTTATACTTTTTGTGACTTGAAAAACTGCAATTCACTTCTGGTGTGAGGGAATTGGCCTGTCTGCAAGGACGTTGCCCAGGGGATGCCTTGGATGTTTTACCATCCTTGTGGGAGGCTTATCTCATGTCCCTGCATGGGGAGCTGGAGCTGACAGAGGGAGCTCATACATTCTCTGTGTGGCTTCTGGTGCAGTTGAGAGAAAGCAAGTGTACCTGCCTTTCCTCTAAATAGCTTTAAGAAGCATTAAAACTGGTCTCCTCCTCTACAAACAAAAGGTAAAGGATTCAAAAAGAGTTGTAACTCTGATTCTTTGTAAATCCAGTTCTTAATGAAGGATAATAATCCTAGAAAGAGGGTTATCTTTTACCTCGGATTCGAATCTCCGACCTGTCAGTCTTTAGTCCTCACCTTTTTGCCTTGTTTTTTACTCATGTTCTATTTTGAAATGGTCATATGACTGATCAAATAAATAATAATAATAATAATAATAATAATAATAATTATTATTATTATTATTATTATTATTATTAAGAGTTGAACCCATTGCACCACCAGGGACTCCTATAATAAGATGATACTGTTTATCTATATAAATAAAAATGTAATTTTCGTTTGTGGGATTAACATAACTCAAAAACCACTGGGCGAATCTTCTCTTTAGTGGAATATACCCATGGCACTTAGGTTTCTCAGTTGTTATACTTTTTGTCACTTGAAAAACTGCAATTCACTTCTGGTGTGAGGGAATTGGCCTGTCTGCAAGGACGTTGCCCAGGGGATGCCTTGGGTGTTTTACCATCCTTGTAGGAGGCTTATCTCATGTCCCCGCATGGGGAGCTGGAGCTGACAGAGGGAGCTCATCCGCGCTCTCCTCGGATTTGAATCTCTGACCTGTCAGTCTTCAGTCCTGCTGGTACAGGGGTTTAACTCATTGCGCCACCAGGGGCTCCTATAATAAGACGATACTGATTATCTATACAAATAAAAATGTAATGTTCGTTTGTGGGATTAACCATTGGACGAATTGACAACAAATTTGGACACAACACACCTATCAGGCCAACGAGTGACCATCACTCATAAAAAAACTGAAAAACACAGCAGAAGAGACATACATTACAACACATGCACAAAACTACATATATATTAGCCGTCCCCAGCCATGTCTTGCTGTGGCCCAGTCTGTGTATATATGTTTTGTGTGTGTATATATTTGTGTATATGTGTATATATAATATTGATAATATTATAATGTAATACAATATAATATTACTTATAATAACATGATATTATAATTATATATTTTATATTAAATATAATATTACCAATAATATTACAGTATAATGTTATAGTATAATGTAATATATAATATTAATATTGTGCTATGGAGGAGGCATAAAGCATCACCAAGCATATGTACGAGGGTTGAATGAAAAGTAATGCCTCCACCTTCGTAACTCCTCAACAGATGGCAGTACTGGTATGTGGCAGGTACTGGCTTGTTCAATAGACTCTCCTCTACAGTTCCATTTTGGTGGGAATATAATATATTGTATTTACTTGTTACTTGTAAGCTGCTCTGACTCCCTTTCGGGGTGAGAAGGGCGGCATATAAATGTCTTAAATAAATAAATAAATGTGGTTTTGCGCATGCGTTGTAATGTATTTTTAATTATTCTTTGACTTTTTAAGTCTCTTCTGCTGTTTTTCAATGTTTTTATGAGTGATGGTCACTTGTTGGCCTGATAGGTGTATTGTGTCCCAATTTGGTGTCAATTCCCCCGGTGATTTTTAAGTTATGTTAATCCCACAAACAAACATTACATTTTTATTTAAATAGATAATCAGTATCGTCTTATTATAGGAGCCCCTGGTGGTGCAATGGATTAAACCCTTGTACCAGCAGGTCTGAAGACTGACAGTTTGGAGATTCAAATCCGAGGAGAGCGTGGTTGAGCTCCCTCTTTCAGCTCCATGCGGGGACATGAGAGAAGCCTCCCACAAGGATGGGAAAACATCCAAGGAATCCCGTGGGCAACATCCTTGCAGTCGGTCAATTCCCTCACACCAGAAGTGAATTGCAGTTTTTCAAGTCACAAAAAAGTCTAACAACTGAGAAACCTAAGTGCCATGGGTATATACCACTAAAGAGAAGATTCGCCCAGTGGTTTTTGAGTTATGTTAATCCCACAAACGAACATTACATTTTTATTTATACAGATATATGCAAACTCATATATATACACATATACACACACAAAACACATATACACAGACTGGGCCACAGCAACGCATGGCAGGGGACAGCTAGTCTATAGTATATAAATAAAATGTAATGTTCGTTTGTGGGATTAACATAACTCAGAAACCACTGGGCGAATTGACACCAAATTTGGACACAAGACACATATCAGGCCAACGAGTGACCATCACTCATGAAAAGACTGAAAAATTTGGCAGAAGAGACTGAAAAAGCCAAAAAACAAAAAAATACATTACAACGCATGCACAAAACCACATATATAAACATATACACAAATACATACACACACATGTACACATATATACACACAAAAAACACATACACAGACTGGGCCACAGCAATGCATGGCAGGGGAGGGCTAGTTGATTTAATTAATAAATAAATAATCAGTATTATTTTCTAGGACAATCGTTACATCATCTGCGAACGTTATTAATTTTATTAATTTTGTATCAACAGCAGGAGAGCTTGCCTTTGCTCCGATCTGTCTTTGCATTTCAGGATTTTATATCACTGTCCTTCCAAGTCTTAACTGTCTCCTGATATCGTTATTACAATCTCCAACAGTTTTTCAAGGTCTACTCCAAAGAAATACACATTTGTGTCCACTGAATTGTCACACAATCTATGGCATACCTTCTATTAGAAAAGATGTTTTCTGGTTTTCTTCGAACTGGACTTGGATGGCATTCAAGGGCAATTCTCCCTGTGTATATGGAATATCAGAATGAGATATTAAACCCACGCCTAAGTTTAAACACATACAAACACCTTAAATAAAGGTCTGTTGGAATTAGGACAATGGGTTTATATATCTGTGGAATGGCTGGGGTGGGGCAAGGAGCTCTTCTCTGCTGGAGCTAGGTGTGAATGTTTCAACTGATCACCTTCATTAGCATTTGAAGGCCTGGCTGAGTCTGGGAAAATCCCCTGTTGAGAGGTGTTAAGATGTGCCTGGTTGTTTACTCTCTGCTGTTTTGCTGTTGTAATTTCTGGGAACACAGAAATGCTGGACCACTCTCACAACCACCATGTCAGACTACACAGAGAAGCCATTGAAATCCACAAGCATGTGGACAATTTCAACAGAAAGGGAGACCATGAAAATGAACAAAATCTGGCTACCAGTATTAAAAAACTCTAAAATTACAACAGCAAAACAGCAGAGAGGAAACAACCAGGCACATCTTAACACCTCTCAACAGGGTATTTTCCCAGGCTCAGCCAAGCCTTCAAATGCTAATGAAGGTGATCAGTTGAAACATTCACACCTAGCTCCAGCAAGGAAGAGCTCCTTGCCCCACCCCAGCCATTCCACAGATATATAAACCCATTGTCCTAATTCCAACAGACCTCACTACCTCTGAGGATGCTTGCCATAGATGCAGGCGAAACGTCAGGAGAAATGCCTCTAGAACATGGCCGAAAAAACCCACAAGAACCTAGTGATTCCAGCCATGAAAGCCTTCGACAATACCTTAAATAAAGATAGCACTGAAAACAAACTTGCTTTTGGTGAGTTAAGAACTGTCTTAACACAATTCGGCAAATCTATACGCATAAGAAAAATGAAAATATGTATATGTGGCCAGTAGGCATGTTCAATCCATGGTTCTAAGTGGTTCTGAGTCAGGTTCAGCACATAGAAGATGGCTTTGAAAGGCAGCAGATCGCAGGAGCTGTCTTCATAGACCTGTCAGCGGCTTATGATACTGTGAACCACCGCCTCCTCCTGAGAAAAATGTATAATATCACAAAGGACTACCACCTCACCCGCCTCATAGGAAACCTGCTACAAAACAGGAGTTTTGTTGAGTATTGACATACAAACTAGGCTTGGGTAACCACGGAAAAATTTGGTTCTAAACTCGTTTCGTTTTTAGGGGGCCCTTGCGTTTCGTTTTTTTAAAGAATTCCGAAATTTTCCTTTAAAAATTTCGAAATATACGAAATTTCGTAAAATTACGAATCGATTCGTTAATGGCGGACGCGATTGCGCAATATGCTAAAAAACCCTCCAAATGGGACAGGGGGAACTTCTGAAGCTTCCCTCTCCCTCTGTTGTTGACTGTTGGTGTGATAAAACAACTATAAAACTTGCACCAGAATAACAAAACAATTACGAAATAAATTGAAAAAAATTGTTTCGAATCTAATTTACTCCTCACACTATTCCTGCATGGCTCAATATTGGATCGTAAGCTAATTTAAATACGAATTAATAACAATTACGAAATTAACGAACGAAACTGCCCAAGCCTAGAAGTTAATATAAGTTGTTGTTGTTCATTCGTTCAGTCGTCTCCGACTCTTCGTGACCTCATGGACCAGCCCACGCCAGAGCTCCCTGTCGGCCGTCACCACTCCCAGCTCCTTCAAGGTCAGTCCAGTCACTTCAAGGATGCCATCCATCCATCTTGCCCTTGGTCGGCCCCTCTTCCTTTTGCCTTCCACTTTCCCCAGCATCATTCCCTTCTTTAGGCTTTGCTGTCTCCTCATGATGTGGCATTCAAAGGACTTCCACTTTGTCTCTAGTCTCCTTCCCTCCAGTGAGCAGTCGGGCTTTCTTTCCTGGAGGATGGACTGGTTGGATCTTCTCGTAGTCCAAGGCACTCTCAGCACTTTCCTCCAACACCACAGCTCAAAAGCATCTCTCTTCCTTCGCTCCGCCTTCCCGAAGGTCCAGCTCTCACATCCGTAGGTTACTACAGGGAATACCATGGCTTTGACAGACATAGACAGAGGCTATTTAACTTTTTCTGGCTGCCAGGGGAGCTGTCGCTTTCATCGTCCATCTGCGACGCTGATGAAGCACTTCCGCATTCCCCACATGCTTCCCCACTGGAGTCTTCTTTATGGCCTCATAAATCAGTTAATTTAGCCTCCCTACACTTTTAAGGTGGTACCTAATTTTCCTACTTGACAGATGCAACTGTCTTTCGGGTTGCAAAGGTCGACAACAGGCTACACACAATTGGTTGGAAACCCACTCCAACCCAGGCTGGCTTCGAACTCATGACCTTTTGGTCAGAGTGATCTTAATGCAGCTGACACTCAGCCAGCTGCGCCACAATCCCGGTATTAAGCTGTGGTCCTTGTTTTGGGACAGATGCTGACCTGAAAGACACTGCTTGGTGGCCCTTGCAACATACCAGACCTTCCACACCCACACATGATTTGTGTAATCTAGGTTTTCAGTGCTGGAGGACAGTGTGCTCTCCTCCCTTCTCTCCCCTGGCACCATCAACCATTCATCACCAAGGCGTGTTGCATCAATTATATCCTCCAAAGCATCATTAAAAGATCGACTGGAACACCCATGGGTCTGCTGCAGTTGCTACTTGCAATGGCCACAATGACCCACTTTCAATCCGCGACAGACAAATGAACTTGAAATTTAGTATTGTCAACCAGGAATGAGGAACTCGACACACGGGCGCTGGTCCCAAGCCCAGACATGCCTATGGAAAAAGCCAAGTTCCTGCAGTTGGTATCACAGGGCAATGAGTCACTCGCTGGCTCCCAAAGGCATGTGGCTGCATAAAGCTCCAACACAATGTCACAAACTCTTCCAACACAGACAATCAGCATGGCCAGTGGACTTTTTGTTGTAGATCGGCCACGAGAGGCTGATGATTTAGACAGGATTGTGAACTCCCATGTGACCCAAAGTGATGGGCCCCCAAGTCTGAGAAATGATGGTTCTCTCTGTGAGAAAACCGGCTCAGAAAGTGCAGGCCTCAAGGGCATTCAGGGGAGTCAGAAGTAGCAACAGCAGATAAGGATTCGAGTGAAGAACTGAACGATTACGAGGGTTCTCATGGCAACCCAGCTACAGCTATGGCGATCAACAAAACTCTTAGTTTATAAATCAGAGAGGAAAATAGATTGTGTTGTGCACAGAGATGATAATAATAATAATAATAATAATAATAATAATAATACCGTATATTATAATAATACTCGAGTATAAGCCGACCCAAATATAAGCTGAGGCACCTAATTTCATCACAAAAAACTGGGAAAACCTATTGACTCGAGTATAAGCTGAAGTGGCAACAGCAGATAAGTATTCGAGTGAAGAACCGAGTGATTAGGAGGGTTCTCATGGCAACCCAGCTACAACTACGGCGATCAACAAAAGTCTTAGTTTACAAATCAGAGAGGAAAATAGATTGTGTTATTCACAGAGATGATGATGATAATAATAATAATAATACCGTATATACTCGAGTATAAGCCGACCCAAATATAAGCCGAGGCACCTAATTTCATCACAAAAAACTGGGAAAACCTATTGACTCGAGTATAAGCTGAAGTAGCAACAGCAGATAAGTATTCGAGTGAAGAACTGAGTGATTAGGAGGGTTCTCATGGCAACCCAGCTACAACTACGGCGATCAACAAAAGTCTTAGTTTACAAATCAGAGAGGAAAATAGATTGTGTTATTCACAGAGATGATGATGATGATAATAATAATAATACCGTATATACTCGAGTATAAGCCGACCCAAATATAAGCCGAGGCACCTAATTTCATCACAAAAAACTGGGAAAACCTATTGACTCGAGTATAAGCTGAAGTAGCAACAGCAGATAAGTATTCGAGTGAAGAACTGAGTGATTAGGAGGGTTCTCATGGCAACCCAGCTACAGCTACGGCGATCAACAAAAGTCTTAGTTTACAGATGAAAGAGGAAAATAGATTGTGTTGTTCACAGAGATAATAATAATAATAATAATAATAATAATACCGTATATACTTGAGTATAAGTCGATCCAAATATAAACCGAGGCACCTAATTTCAACACAAAAAACTGGGAAAACCTATTGACTTGAGTATAAGCTGAAGTAGCAACAGCAGATAAGTATTCGAGTGAGGAACTGAGTGATTAGGAGGGTTCTCATGGCAACCCAGCTACAGCTACGGCGATCAACAAAAGTCTTAGTTTACAGATGAGAGAGGAAAATAGATTGTGTTGTTCACAGAGATAATAATAATTATTATTATTATAATACCGTATATACTCGAGTATAAGCCGACCCAAATATAAGTCGAGGCACCTAATTTCATCACAAAAAATGGGGAAAATTGATTGACTCGAGTATAAGCCGAGGGTGGGAAATGCAGCAGCTATTGGTAAATTTCAAAATAAAAATAGATACAAATAAAATTACACTAATTGAGGCATCAAGAGGTTAAATGTTCTTGAATATTTGAGATAAAACTGCCCAACTCTGATTAAATCATTCTGACCTTCAATGTAAATGTGCTTGTGTATCCTTCCAATAAAAATAAATAGATTAAAATAATAAAGGTAATAATAATAGAGTAATATAATGGAAATGTAATATTAACAATAATAATAAATAGAGTAAAATAATAAATGCAATAATTATGTATTTATAACAGAGTAAAATAATAAATAACCTTGACTCGAGTATAAGCCGAGGGGGACATTTTCAGCCTAAAAAAAGGTCTGAAAAACTAGGCTTATACTCGAGTATATACAGTAATAATAATAATAATAATAATAATAATAATAATAATAATAATAATATTTATTTAATACCCCGCCACCATCTCCCCAATGGGGATTCGGGGTGGCTAACATGAGGCCAAGCCCAAAGATACAATACAGCAAAATAAAATGCAAAATGCAGACAAGAAAAATACATCAGAATAAAATACATACGGTAGCAAAATAAAATAAATAAAGCAAATCGACATAATATAAAATCAAACGCAATGGGCAGGCCAAATGGACGAAGTAAAATGATAAAACCCTTGATGAGGATGGTATAGAAAAAGTGTGATTGAGAGGAGCCCAAAAAGGATGAAGATTATGTGGGAAAGTAGTGGAAAAAAATTCACGGGAAACAGAATGATTTCATGGGTGTCTATTAAAGAACAAATGATTTACCTGAAAGTCAGTTCAGGCAACACTGCGTTAGAGTGAGAAGCTAAACATGAGTTCTCTTGTTTCTGGTTCAAGTCAAGCTTTGGTTTTGGATTTAATATATCCTGGAAGTTTTCTATGTTCCTGTTCATGTACTCCTGTCCAAGTTTTACTAGTTAAAACTTCCCGATTGTGGACTTATGTTGTATCTGTGATTCCTGGCTGTTTCTGAACTTTGTCACCTCTGGAACTTTAGGAGACAGTTGGATTATTGTAGGGTTATCACCTTTTGCTAAACCTTTTCGGATTATATATCTTCTTTTCTTATTCCTGACCTTTATAGGCTTTTTATATGTTTTCTACAATAAACTGTTTGCTTATATTCCTGGACTCTTGTGCAGTGCGGTGGTCATAAGTGTTTCCAGGCCTGGAGAGCAAAACACTTTCAGAGAATCTGGTCATGGGTCCAGGAAGTTTCTCAGAGGAGAGGGCTGTTTGTGAGACTCCTAGCAGAGAGGGGAGAGCAGGCATGCTCACATGGCAGGTGGCGGATCCTCCCACCAAAAGCCCTCCTCTGCTGTGATTGGCTGGCCTTTCAGCCAAGAGGAGGGCTGTTTCTGAGACCAAGCAGAGAGGGGAGAGCAGGCATGCTCAGCACATGGCAAATGGCGAATCCTCCCACCCAACGCCCTCCTTGGTGTGATTGGCTGGCCTTTCAGCCAAGAGGAGGGCTGTTTCTGAAACTCCAAGCAGGGAGGGGAGAGCAGGCGTGCTCGGCGCATGGCAGATGGCAAATCCACCAAAAGATTTGCCATCTGCCATGCACCGAGCATGCCTGTTTCTGAGACTCCAAGCAGGGAGGGGAGAGCAGGCATGCTCGCATGGCAGGTGGCGAATCCTCCCACCAAAAGCCCTCCTCTGCTGTGATTGGCTGGCCTTTCAGCCAAGGGGAGGGCTATTTCTGAGACTCCAAGCAGAGAGGGGAGAGCAGGCGTGCTCGGTGCATGGCAGGTGGCTAAACCTCCCACCAAAAGCCCTTCTCTGCTGTGATTGGCTGGCCTTTCAGCCAAGGGGAGGGGTGTTTCTGAGACTCCAAGCAGGGAGGGGAGAGCAGGCATGCTCGGCGCATGGCAGATGGCAAATCCACCAAAAGATTTGCCATCTGCCATGCACCGAGCATGCCTGTTTCTGAGACTCCAAGCAGAGAGGGGAGAGCAGGCATGCTCGGCGCATGGCAGGTGGCGAATCCTCCCACCAAAAGCCCTCCTCTGCTGTGATTGGCTGGCCTTTCAGCCAAGGGGAGGGCTGTTTCTGAGACTCCAAGCAGAGAGGGGAGAGCAGGCGTGCTCGGTGCATGGCAGGTGGCTAAACCTCCCACCAAAAGCCCTTCTCTGCTGTGATTGGCTGGCCTTTCAGCCAAGGGGAGGGGTGTTTCTGAGACTCCAAGCAGGGAGGGGAGAGCAGGCATGCTCGGCGCATGGCAGATGCAAATCCACCAAAAGATTTGCCCTCAGCCAAGTGGAGGGCTGTTTCTGAGACTCCAAGCAGGGAGGGGAGAGCAGGCATGCTCGGCGCATGGCAGGTGGCGAATCCTCCCACCAAAAGCCCTCCTCTGCTGTGATTGGCTGGCCTTTCAGCCAAGGGGAGGGCTGTTTCTGAAACTCCAAGCAGGAGGGGAGAACAGGTGTGCTCGGCTCATGGCAGATGGCAAATCCTCCCACCAAAAGCCCTCCTCTGCTGCGATTGGCTGGCCATTCAGCCAAGGGGAGGTCTGTTTTTGAGACTCCAATCAGAGAGGGGAGAGCAGATGTTCTCAGCACATGGCAAATGGCGAATCCTCCCATCAAAAGCCCTCCTCTGCTGTGATTGGCTGGCCTTTCAGCCAAGGGGAGGGCTATTTCTGAGACTCCAAGCAGGGAGGGGAGAGCAGGCATGCTAATCGCATGGCATGTGCAGGCGAGGGAGAGCATGCAAGGCTGGAGGGAGGCTCATACCAGTGAGGCCCTTCAAGGTTCGGGGGTTCTGTCTGGGAAGTTTGACTCAACTCTAAATTGGGACAATGGAATGAAAATACATCCTGCATATCAAATATTGACATGACGATTCATAACAGTAGCAAAATGACAGTTATGAAGTAGCAATGAAAATAATATTATGGTTAAGGGTCACCACGCCAAGAGGAACCGTATTAAGGGGTCGCGGTATTGAGAAGGATCCAGATGTGTGTTGCTTGCCTCCAAGCGGCTTCTCGTGTTATCCATATTTCAGAGGAAGGAATTCTGAGTATTCCTGGGCTAATGAGTCAATGGGTGCATTCAGGCACATCTATATACGCGCACAAGGCCTGGGAAGCCACCCAATCGAGCCAGCTGTCAGCGACAGTTGGCTCTTTGCACATTATCTCACAAAACCACAGACATTCCTCCGGAACGAGTGCACAACTATCTCAATAGAGAATCCACACATTGGACCGTACCGAATCCAAGAGTTGTGTCTCGCTGTACATATCCTAATCTCTCAGTTCACATTCAGTGAGATATTTGCTTTTATAAAACAAGTTAGTGACTTGTTACATTTGATCACAAATCTTTGCTAATGTGGTCATATTGCATTTGATTTGTGCCACATAGTTTGTAACAGGAGTGGATGTACTAACACAGGTACAACCTGGGTAGGTTGACTCATGCAGTGGGAAGCCGTTGCCCCAGCTTCAAAGGCATGCCGACGAACTACTGCACAGTTCTGAAGCCAACCAAGCTCATGGGAAACATAGGCAAAGTCAGAAGAGGCAGAAGGTATCTAGTGGAACACAACAACCCACAAATGAGCCCAAACCCCAGAAATCCTCAGTTCTGCCCTTGCCATGAACTCCCAAGGAAGCTTAGAAGACAAGTTCCTTCCACCCAGACATTGCCCTTCATCACATCTCAGTAGCCTCATTATTTTCATTCTTTGAGGACACCGACAGTGAAATCCTTCACCAAGTGGTTTTGAGTATGACTATGAAAAGATAAATACACTGGATAGACCACATCAGCCAATTCAGAAAGTTGCATTGGATAGACCACATCAGCCGATTTGGAAAACTGCATTGGATAGAACACATCAGCTGATTCAGAAAACTGCATTGGATAGACCACATCAACTGATTCAGAAAACTACATTGGATAGACCACACCAGCCGATTCAGAAAACTGCATTGGATAGACCACATCAGCTGATTCAGAAAACAGCACTGGATAGCCCACATCAGCCAATTCAGAAAACAGCATTGGATAGACTACATCAGCCGAATCAGAAAACTGCATTGGATAGACCACACCAGCCGATTCAGAAAACTACATTGGATAGACCACATCAGCCAACTCAGAAAACAGCATTGGATAGACCATATCAGCCGATTCAGAAAACTGCATTGGATAGACCACATCAGCCGATTCAGAAAACAGCATTGAATAGACCACATCAGCCGATTCAGAAAATTGATTTGGATAGACCACATCAGCCGACTCAGAAAACTGCATTGGATCAAGGGCTCTGAATTCTCAGAATGAGAGATGACAGGCTTTAAATCACCTTGGATAATCAAAAATGAAAATAGGCTCCAATTACCTTAAAGTAGAGACTGTTACGTTCTTCAGATACGATTACCAGGGTGGATGGATAGAGGATCAACAACCTATCATGAGCCTCCTGTTACGAGAAAAAGAAGACTATTATTCCAAGTTTAATAATGATATTTCTAATTTTGCATGATATGAATGTATTTCCCTCAGAGCTGTTAAGAGGCGGACTATCTGGAATCCTTTCCTCCCAAAGACTACGTCCCTGTGAAGGTGATGAAGTAGAAACAATAGAACACATTTTATTGCAGTGCCACTATCAACGTGGCCAACTTGTGTATCCAATTTTGTCTCGTATGACCAGCCATCCCCGCAAGGGACTGTTAGATATCTTTTAGAGCAGATATGGGTAAACCCATAACAACAACAACAACAACAACAACAACAACAACAACAACAACATTTATATACCGCTCTATCTCCCCGAGCGGGACTCAGGGCAGTTTCCAAGTAACATCACCAAAACATACAGAATAAACAGCATAACATAAAATTAACAAAACAACATCACAAATTATCACAATAGCACACACACACACATATAAAATAATAATAATAATAATTTATTTATTTATTTATTTGCTTTCCTTCTATACCGCTTTTCTCAGCCGAAATGGCGACTCAAAGCGGTTTACATAATACAAGTTATCACAACAKTATCCAAGGCAATTAAAACACATTATACAAGACATACAAGGTCAAAAAACAATCATTATCATAATCGCAGTGCCTCAGCAACAAATCAGAATCAGAATCCGTAATCATAATCCTTTATACCAATTCCTATGTTCAGTTGTACCATCTTCCTGTATTCCATTGCACTATTTAGCCAAACGCTTGTTCGTAAAGCCAAGTCTTGACTTTCCTCGTCGAGGGGCACCACCGAGAAGGCCCTGTTCCTCGTCCTCCCACCAGACGCGCTTGCGAAGGTGGGTGGGACCGAGAGCAGGGCCCCTCCAGAAGATCTTAACAATCCTTGATGGTTCATAGGGGAGAATCCGTTCGGACAGGTAGGGCCAGAACTATTTAGGGCTTTATAGGCTAACGCCAGCACTTTAAATTGTGCCCGGTAGCAAACTGGCAGCCAGTGGAGCTGGCGCAACAGAGGAGTTGTATGCTCCCTGAGTGCCGCTCCTATTAGTAACATGGCTGCTGAGCGTTGGACCATTTGAAGCTTACGAGCAGTCTTCAAAGGCAACCCCACATAGAGAGCGTTGCAGTAGTCTATACGGGATGTAACCAGAGCATGGACTACCGTGGCCAAGTCAGACTTCTCTATTTATTTATTTTTTGGGCTTTTATATCCCATCCTATCACAACCTCCGAAGAGGGACTCAGGATGGCTAACAAATCGGCACCCCATGGCACCCACATCAGAAAAGCATAAATATACAATTTAACAGTAGTATAATAATAACAGTATAAAACAGTATAAAACAGTACAAACAATATAAAACAGTATAAAAACAATAAATATTAACATAAAGATAGGAAATAAATAAATATTATATATTTAAAATAAATATAAGATATAAATAAATAATATATAATTAAAATATAAATATAAATATAAATACAATATAAATAAAATATAAATATAAATAAATACGTAGAAATAAAATATAAATATAAATAAATACAAAATATAAATATAAATATAATATAAATACTAGAAATAAAATATAAATATAAATAAATAATCAATATTCTTTAACGCCTATAAATTTGAGATACTCAAGTCTAAATATTAAATTAATAAAATATATTACATATAAAAGGTAGGATATAAATGAAATATAAATAAAACTATATGTTGCTTTCTTCAGAGCCATCCTCTCGCTCATATGTCCTATCCTTGTGCTTGAGTTGCCTTCCTTCTGCTCCTACCTCCACCATATTCTCACTCCACCTTCCACCCTTATATGTTGTGCCTTCCTTCCTTCCTCCTTCTCTTTCCTTCTTCCTTTCCTTCTCTTTCTTTCCTCCTTCTCTTTCCTTCCTTTCCTTCCTTTCTTTCCTCCTTTTCTTCCTTTCCTTCAAGATAAAAAAGGGCAAAAAAAAAAAAAAGGAAAAAAAAAACGACGACCAGAATGCAGTCCTGCTAGGCCACACACAACCCAGAAGGTCGAGTCCACACCTCACACCCTGCAGCACCACAGGCCACTACACATCTTGGAATATGTGTAGGGTATTCTTAGCACCACTCTACAGCAGAGAGCCCGTGAGCGGGGGTCAGACTACACAGGCTCCTCATCTTGGAAATGCACCTCCACCAGAGCCGTAGATTGAGCACCACCTCCAGAGCCGGAAATGAAAGGAGAGGCCTTTGCCTGTGTATTTGTGCTTCATTGTATTTCACGGTGAATAATACATGCAAATCCAAGTAGGATACCCTTTTGCAGCTGAGAAATGGTAATTTTGTCAGCGCTGATTGTTTTTAAGTGCAGGCCAAGGTCTTTAGGCACTGCCGATTATTATTATTATTATTATTATTATTATTATTATTATTATTATTATTATATAAGGGTCAAACCTGGAAAGGCAGAAGATGGGCCGCACTTTAGAGACGCACAAAATGTCACCCAGAGACTCCCGCTGGGTCCCCCTCCATTCTTGCACAGGGGCGTGCTGCACGGACCACCGGAGCTGCTCGCGACCCACCGCACTCTGTTTCAGGTCATTCTGAAGACAAAAAAGAAGAGGAGTAAAAACATACTTAATCCTCCCACCAAAAGCCCTCCTCCGCTGTGATTGACTGGCCTCTCAGCCAAGGGGAGGGCTCTGTTTTTGAGACTCCGAGCCAGGAGGGGAGAGCAGGCGTGCTCGGCGGATGGCAGAGCAGTGTGCATGTGTGAGTGAGGAGAGCGTGTGAGGCTGGAGGGAGGCTCACGTCAGTGAGTCCCTTCAAAGCAGGAGAGTTCTGCCTGGGAAGTTTGGCCCAGTTCTATCGTTGGTGGGGTTCGAAATTATCTTTGATTGCAGGTGAACTATAAATCCCAGCAACTCCAACTTCCAAATGTCAAGGTCTATTTCCCCCAAACTCTTGCTCATAGGTGTTATGTGTATCAAGTTTGGCCCAGTTCTATCGTTGGTGGGGTTCAGAATGCTCTTTGATTGTAGGTGAACTATTAATCCCAGCAACTACAACTTCCAAATGTCAAGGTCTATTTCCCCCAAACTCTTGCTCATAGGTGTTATGTGTATCAAGTTTGGCCCAGTTCTATCGTTGGTGGGGTTCAGAATGCTCTTTGATTGTAGGTGAACTATTAATCCCAGAACTACAACTTCCAAGTGTCAAGGTCTATTTCCCCCAAACTCTTGCTCATAGGTGTTATGTGTATCAAGTTTGGCCCAGTTCTATCGTTGGTGGTTCAGAATGCTCTTTGATTGTAGGTGAACTATTAATCCCAGCAACTACAACTTCCAAATGTCAAGGTCTATTTCCCCCAAACTCTTGCTCATAGGTGTTATGTGTATCAAGTTTGGCCCAGTTCTATCGTTGGTGGGGTTCAGAATGCTCTTTGATTGTAGGTGAACTATTAATCCCAGCAACTACAACTTCCAAGTGTCAAGGTCTATTTCCCCCAAACTCTTGCTCATAGGTGTTATGTGTATCAAGTTTGGCCCAGTTCTATCGTTGGTGGGGTTCAGAATGCTCTTTGATTGTAGGTGAACTATTAATCCCAGCAACTACAACTTCCAAATGTCAAGGTCTATTTCCCCCAAACTCTTGCTCAAGGTCAATGTCCACTAATATTTTCCAGTATTTTCTGTTGGTCATGGGAGTTCTGTGTGCCAAGTTTGGTTCAATTCCACGAAGTTGCAATGAAAATAATGTTATGGTTGGGGGTCACCACAACATGAGGAACTGTCTTAAGGGGTCACGGCATTCGGAAAGTTGAGAAATAATGCTTTATCAGGAGACGCAGCAACAATGAGGGCCGAGATGTTGGGAGCCAGACTGGAAACTGTGATACGAGACATCCTCCCTGCACCTCCGCTCCTATGAGCACAAACATCTTTCTCATGCTGTTCTTACACATCCTCTCTTTCTGCCTGTCCGGAGCAGAATTACTCACCTTTGGGGCACGGAAACTGTGTGTGTTTGTGTGTGTTATAGGTGTTTGTGTGTGTTATGGGGGGGAGTTAAAAAAGACTGAAAAGAGGCCAGCTTTGCAGTACAAGAGAAGAGGAAATTCAGCTCAGGAATTCCCCTGGAATGGTGATCACAGGGCCAAAACTACAACTCACAGGTGCAGCACCTGGAATGGGATCCAACTCATACCTGCTAACTCGTTGTTTCCCACGATGACTAATCTATTTCCCTTAAAGGCCTCACAGCTTGCTTTGAATCTCTACCCAAAATATTGGTGCCTGCCCAGTGAAGAAAAAAATTACTATGGCAAAGATTGAGAGCGAATCCTCCCACCAAAAGCCCTCCTATGATGTGATTGGCCGGATTCTCAGCCAAGGGGAGGGTTGTTTCTGAGTCTCCAAGTGGGGAGGGGAGAGCAGGCATGCTTGGCGCATATCAAAGACCGAGAAACTAAGCTAACCTAACCTCCCTGCAGGTGCAAAAATGTCCGCGGGGCAGAAGCGAGAGGCAGTGGGAAGGCATGGAGGGAGTTCCCTTCTAATGGCATTTGGAGTACTGTGTGGCGGTGAGGGACGAGGGTGAGAGGCGTTTGGAAGGAGCTCCCCAAGGCGCTTATGGGAGTCTGGGCGTGTGAGGTGAGAGGGTCACGTGTGGGGCTGGGAAGGAGTCTACATCTCCAACGAGCAGTTGGACGGGAGGAGTGGTGTGAGAGTGAGGGACAGAGGGTCTGTAGGCTGGAAGGAGCTGCTTCGACAAGGCCCAGATCGAGACGAGATATCCGTACTTAGCAGGAGGAGTAGAGATGCCTTCACGCGGAACGGACAACAATCTGGACGGAGGACGAGTGTTGAGAGGCTGGAAGGAGCCCTCCAGAGAGCAGGACAGCGATGCGGTAGATTCCTGTGTGAGGCTAGAGAGACAAGATAGAGGGACCCTGGCTAGAAGGATATGAGAGAGTTGGCCTGTGTCGGAGTGCGAAGGGATGAGCAGGTCGGGGAGGGGCTTTGGAAGATGACTCCTCCAAGAGCACGTTAGGGAGTCTGTGTGTCGGGGAAGAGGGAAGGAGGGATGTGAGGCTGGACAGGAGGCAATCCTTTACCCACACCGCAGGTTGGAGGAGCTACGCGACTACGTGTGTGGGTCCGAGCGGAACGAGGGATAAACGCTTCTGAGGCGTGGACAGGAGATCTTACAAGAGACATAGGTTGGGGACGTTATTCTGTGTGGGGTGAGGGAAGATGGGCTGTGACGGCTGGAGGAGCTCGCTCCATAGGGCGTGTGGAGAGTTTCACTCCAGTTCCTGTCGGGTGAGGGAGAGGGGACATCGACCCCAAGTGTGTGGGAGAGGGTGTGAGGGGCTGGAAGGAGCTCCTCCAAGGCGTTGGGAGTTCTGTGTGGGTGAGGGAGAGGGTGTGAGGCTGGAAGGAGCTCCTCCAAGGCGTTGGGAGTTCTGTGTGGGTGAGGGAGAGGGTGTGAGGCTGGAAGGAGCTCCTCCAAGGCGTTGGGAGTTCTGTGTGGGTGAGGGAGAGGGTGTGAGGCTGGAAGGAGCTCTTCCAAGGCGTTGGGAGTTCTGTGTGGGTGAGGGAGAGGGTGTGAGGCTGGAAGGAGCTCCTCCAAGGCGTTGGGAGTTCTGTGTGGGTGAGGGAGAGGGTGTGAGGCTGGAAGGAGCTCCTCCAAGGCGTTGGGAGTTCTGTGTGGGTGAGGGAGAGGGTGTGAGGCTGGAAGGAGCTCCTCCAAGGCGTTGGGAGTTCTGTGTGGGTGAGGGAGAGGGTGTGAGGCTGGAAGGAGCTCCTCCAAGGCATTGGGAGTTCTGTGTGGGTGAGGGAGAGGGTGTGAGGCTGGAAGGAGCTCCTCCAAGGCATTGGGAGTTCTGTGTGGGTGAGGGAGAGGGTGTGAGGCTGGAAGGAGCTCCTCCAAGGCATTGGGAGTTCTGTGTGGGTGAGGGAGAGGGTGTGAGGCTGGAAGGAGCTCCTCCAAGGCATTGGGAGTCCCTTCAAGGCATTGGGAGTTCTGTGTGGGTGAGGGAGAGGGTGTGAGGCTGGAAGGAGCTCCTCCAAGGCGTTGGGAGTTCTGTGTGGGTGAGGGAGAGGGTGTGAGGCTGGAAGGAGCTCCTCCAAGGCATTGGGAGTTCTGTGTGGGTGAGGGAGAGGGTGTGAGGCTGGAAGGAGCTCCTCCAAGGCATTGGGAGTTCTGTGTGGGTGAGGGAGAGGGTGTGAGGCTGGAAGGAGCTCCTCCAAGGCATTGGGAGTTCTGTGTGGGTGAGGGAGAGGGTGTGAGGCTGGAAGGAGCTCCTCCAAGGCGTTGGGAGTTCTGTGTGGGTGAGGGAGAGGGTGTGAGGCTGGAAGGAGCTCTTCCAAGGCGTTGGGAGTTCTGTGTGGGTGAGGGAGAGGGTGTGAGGCTGGAAGGAGCTCCTCCAAGGCATTGGGAGTTCTGTGTGGGTGAGGGAGAGGGTGTGAGGCTGGAAGGAGCTCCTCCAAGGCATTGGGAGTTCTGTGTGGGTGAGGGAGAGGGTGTGAGGCTGGAAGGAGCTCCTCCAAGGCATTGGGAGTTCTGTGTGGGTGAGGGAGAGGGTGTGAGGCTGGAAGGAGCTCCTCCAAGGCATTGGGAGTTCTGTGTGGGTGAGGGAGAGGGTGTGAGGCTGGAAGGAGCTCCTCCAAGGCATTGGGAGTTCTGTGTGGGTGAGGGAGAGCGTGTGAGGCTGGAGGAAGTCCCTTCAAGCCATTGGGAGTTCTGTGTGGGTGAGGGAGAGGGTGTGAGGCTGGAAGGAGCTCCTCCAAGGCATTGGGAGTTCTGTGTGGGTGAGGGAGAGGGTGTGAGGCTGGAAGGAGCTCCTCCAAGGCGTTGGGAGTTCTGTGTGGGTGAGGGAGAGGGTGTGAGGCTGGAAGGAGCTCCTCCAAGGCATTGGGAGTTCTGTGTGGGTGAGGGAGAGGGTGTGAGGCTGGAAGGAGCTCCTCCAAGGCGTTGGGAGTTCTGTGTGGGTGAGGGAGAGGGTGTGAGGCTGGAAGGAGCTCCTCCAAGGCATTGGGAGTTCTGTGTGGGTGAGGGAGAGCGTGTGAGGCTGGAGGAAGTCCCTTCAAGCCATTGGGAGTTCTGTGTGGGTGAGGGAGAGGGTGTGAGGCTGGAAGGAGCTCCTCCAAGGCATTGGGAGTTCTGTGTGGGTGAGGGAGAGGGTGTGAGGCTGGAAGGAGCTCCTCCAAGGCATTGGGAGTTCTGTGTGGGTGAGGGAGAGGGTGTGAGGCTGGAAGGAGCTCCTCCAAGGCATTGGGAGTTCTGTGTGGGTGAGGGAGAGGGTGTGAGGCTGGAAGGAGCTCCTCCAAGGCATTGGGAGTTCTGTGTGGGTGAGGGAGAGGGTGTGAGGCTGGAAGGAGCTCCTCCAAGGCATTGGGAGTTCTGTGTGGGTGAGGGAGAGGGTGTGAGGCTGGAAGGAGCTCCTCCAAGGCATTGGGAGTTCTGTGTGGGTGAAGAGAGATGCGAGGTTGCAGGGAGTCCGTTCAAGCCATTGGGTGTTCCGTGTGGGTGAGGCAGCCAAAGGGAGGGCTGTTTCTGTGACTCCAAGTGGGGAGGGAGAGCAGGCGTGCTCGGTGCATGGCAGCATGGTGCACATGTGCAGGAAAGAGGGAGAGCATGTGGGGCTGGAGGGAGTTCCTTCAAGGCATTGGGGGTTCTGTGTGGTTGAGGCAGCCAAGGGTAGGGCTGTTTCTGTGACTCCAAGTGGGGAAGGGGGAAGAGCAGGTGTGCTCATTGCACGGCAGTGTGGTGCACATGTGCGGGCCGAGGAGAGGGTGTGAGGCTGGAGGGAGTCCCTTCAAGGCATTGGAAGTTCTGTGTGGGTGAGGGAGAGCATGTGAGACTGGAGGGATTCCCTTCAAGCCATTGGGAGTTCTGCGTAGGTGAGGGAGAGCGTGTGAGGCTGGAGAGAATCCCTTCAAGGCATTGGAAGTTCTGTATGGGTGAGGGAGAACACGTGAGGCTTCCGTGTGGGTGAGGCAGCCAAGGGGAGGTCTGTTTCTGTGACTGCAAGTGGGGAGGGAAGAGCAGGCGTGCTAAGTGCATGGAAGCGTGGTGCACATGTGCAGGCAGAGGAGAGCATGTGAGGCTGGAGGGAGTCTTTTCAAGCCATTGGGAGTTCTGTGTGGATGAGGCAGCCAAGGGGAGGGCTGTATTTGTGACTCCAATCGGGGAGGGGAGAGCAGGCGTGCTCAGTGAATGGCAGCATGGTGCACATGTGCGGGTAGGGGAGAGCATGTGAGGCTGGAGGGAGTCCCTTCAAGCCATTGGGAGTTCTGTGTGGATGAGGCAGCCAAGGGGAGGGCTGTATTTGTGACTCCAATCGGGGAGGGGAGAGCAGGCGTGCTCAGTGAATGGCAGCATGGTGCACATGTGCGGGTAGGGGAGAGCATGTGAGGCTGGAGGGAGTCCCTTCAAGCCATTGGGAGTTCTGTGTGGATGAGGCAGCCAAGGGGAGGGCTGTATTTGTGACTCCAAGTAGGGAGGGGAGAGCAGGTGTGCTCGCTGCATGGCAGCATGGTGCACATGTGTGGGTAGGGGAGAGCATGTGAGGCTGGAGGGAGTCTCTTCAAGCCATTGGGAGTTCTGTGTGGATGAGGCAGCCAAGGGGAGGGCTGTATTTGTGACTCCAAGTGGGGAGGGGAGAGCAGGCGTGCTCGGCGCATGGCAGTGTAGTGCACATGTGCGGGCAAGGGAGAGCATGTGAGACTGGAGGAAGGCTCTCACCAACAAGTTCCTTTAAGGCATGGGGATTCTGTGTGGGAAGTTTGGCCCAATTCTATAAATCCCAGCAAGTTCTTGTTCTTGTTGTTTTCCAAACTCCAAAAGCCCTCCTCTGCTTTGATTGGCCGGCCTCTCAGCCAAGGGAAGGGTTGTTTCTGAGGCTCCAAGTGGGGAGGGGGGAGAGCAGGCGTGCTCGCCACAAGGCACAAAACGAACTCCCATGACCAAAAGAGCATGTGCAGGCAAGGGAGAGCATGCGAGGCTGGAGGGAGGTTCACGCCAGCGAGTTCCTTCAAGGCATGGGGATTCTGTGTGGGAAGTTTGGCCCAATTCTATAAATCCCAGCAAGTTCTTGTTCTTGTTGTGGTTATTTGGGACTTGCACTCCCAGAAGAGAGTGAAAGAAAGACAAAGGCAGAGCTTGGAAAATAGCTGATCTTTTAGATGCCCAATCCCAGAATTTTTCCCATGTTGCTTAGGGGAATCTGGGATTGCTAATCCATAAAGCTCACCTGAGTGAGGAAGGGCAGGTCGAGGCTCCCTCCATTCAAATGGATCTGCTTCTCCAAGTGATAGAGCCAGCGCTTGACTTCCGTCCGGTTGGGGCAGTAGACGATCAGGGGACTGAGCAAATGACCTGGAGAGGCAAAAGGGAAGGAGACGAATTGAGATCCTACTAGTACCGAATACAATTAGAATTTTTAAAAATGTCATATGTAGATTGAGACTCCAAGCAGAGAGGGGAGAGCAGGCGTGCTCGCTACATGGCAGGGTGATGCGCATGTTTTGTGCAAGCGAGAGCGTGCAAGGCTGGAGGGAGACTCGTGCCTGAAAGTCCCCTCAAGAGTTCTGTGTGGGAAGTTTGGCCCAATTCTATCATTGGCGGGGGTCAGAATGCTCATTGATCGTAGGTGAACTATAAATCCCAGGAACTACAACTCCCAAATGTCAAGGTCTATTTTCCTCAAACTCCAGCTGTGTTTGCATCTGGACATATTGAGTACTTGTGCCAAGTTTGGTTCAGATCTATCATTGTTTGAGTCCACAGTGCTTTCTGGATGTAGGTGAACTACAACTCCCAAACTCAAGGTCAATGCCCACCAAACCCTTCCAGTATTTTCCCTTGGTCATGGGAGTTCTGTGTGGGAAGTTTGGCCCAATTCTATCATTGGCGGGGGTCAGAATGCTCATTGATTGTAGGTGAACTATAAATCCCAGCAACAGCAACTCCCAATTGTCAAGGTCTATTTTCCCCAAACTCCAGCTGTGTTCGCATCTGGACATATTGAGTACTTGTGCCAAGTTTGGTTCAGATCTATCATTGTTTGAGTCCACAGTGCTTTCTGGATGTAGGTGAACTACAACTCCCAAACTCAAGGTCAATGCCCACCAAACCCTTCCAGTATTTTCCCTTGGTCATTGGAGTTCTGTGTGGGAAGTTTGGCCCAATTCTATCATTGGCGGGGGTCAGAATGCTCTTTGATTGTAGGTGAACTATAAATCCCAGGAACTACAACTCCCAAATGTCAAGGTCTATTTTCCTCAAACTCCAGCTGTGTTCGCATTTGGGCATATTGAGTACAGATCTATCATTGTTTGTCATCACAGTGCTCTCTGGATGTAGGTGAACCACAACTCCCAAACTCAAGGTCAATGCCCACCAAACCCTTCCAGTATTTTCTCTTGGTCGTGGGAGTTCTGTGTGCCAAGTCTGGTTGGTGGAATTCAGAATGCACTTTAATTGTAGGTGAACTATAAATCCCAGCAACTACGAGTGCAGCATTCTTCTGAATGAAGCAGAGAGTGTTTGAGGAACGGGACATCTGTAGGGATACCAAGGTGCTTGTTTATAAAGCTATGGTCCTTCCTATCCTTCGGTGGCAGCAGCCTCTCCACAAAAGTCAACACTGGCACTGAAATACAACAACACCTGAGCTCTGCAAGTGCAGCATTTTTCCAAATGAAGCGGAGAGTGTTTGAGGACCGGGACATCCGTAGTTATACCAAGGTGCTTGTTTATAAAGCTATTGTCCTCCCAACCTTGCTGTGGCAGCCACCTCTCCACAAAAGTCAATATTGACATTGAAATACAACACTGCCTGAGCTCTGCGAGTGCAGCATTTT